TAATTTCCCAACATATGCAAGTTAGTAGCAGACAGTTTCATAACATAAAACTTCACAATGGGGCTCTACTGGCTGGCAAACAGACTATAAGGACAATATAAGGACATAAAGTCAGCAGGCAAAGAAATGTATTCCCCATGTGGTTCCAATGCTTTGCTGATGTTTGTTTTCCCTCTTTTGTGAAATATATTTAAATGGTCACCATTAAAAAGTGAGACAACAAGGACTGTGAGTTGAATGTGAGTGAAGCCTCGGTGGAGCTACGGGACTCTTCACCAGTAAAGCAAACATGCCACTCAAGATGTACATTAATGGCCATCAGACGACACAGAGGCTGTAAATGTTTCCAGGCCTCAGCTCGTAACGTTATGACTAACTCAACACAAACTCCTGCAGCTCAGCAGCTTTCGGCAACAACAGATCATCCATCCAAATCTCTACATGTCACCGCTGCTGTATGAAAACCCTATGAAGACCCTGGACTTTAATGAGGTGTGAAGTCACCTCCTGGCAAAACCCAGAGAAACACTGTGAATTAGATATGAGAAATGTATCATAAAATCATTTAAAGCTGATTATGTTTCCATTAAAGCATGTGAAAACTACAGCTACATACAAAAGAAACAATCAATGCTCAGGTTTGGAAAAACATCCTAAGGGCCTGAGTCCACATTGAGCTTTATACTGTTTCTTCTTCCTTTGAAACACCTTGATTCGCCGTGTTGTGGACAGCTGATATACAATAAACTTACCTTGCTCTCTGTATTTTAAGGTGCAGCTACTATAAAGCTCTCCGATGGTCTATGTGCCAGAGTCCAAAACTCTGAAGTAACAGACCATTAGAAACATAATGTAGACAGGTTATTATATTATATGTGAGTTTAAAAGAAGTGGGCATTTACCAGGCTAATAAAAGACACCATGAGTTACATTATGGAAACTGTAGGATCCAGTGTTTCTGTAGCTTGACTCATACGACAGACTAAAGAGACATTTTGGCCTCTGCTGCATGTATTTCTTTTTTAATCTGTCTCAGTACCCAAATATTATGTAATCTCTGCAGTATCCCTTTAATTACTCTTTAGATTCAACTGTTCAAACTAATCGCTCCGAAAGTGATCCCAATGATATTGATCGCCACTGTCGTTATAGCTGTAGTGTGTACAATTTATTATGAAAAGACATATTTATAGTCATTGTTAAAGTTTGCGTTCTTGGTGTGGACGGCCCTTTAATCTGTAAAAAAATATGGCTCCTCCTCTTAATAACATTTACAAGAACCCTTACGAGTACCTAATATAAAACATCCAATCAGAGCCACGAGGTGTCTCTAGAGTCAATCACTGCTTGTCCACACGCTGCCTCATGCTCTTGCTTCAGTAGAAGCTTTGTAAAGACAGAAACAACATTTAATAAACTGCCTATTTCTCCTTTGCCAACAACAGAATACACTGCAGTTCCTCTCACACTGCAGGCTTCATTCAGCTCTACGTCTTTGGTGACAGCCAGAGACGACCACACTGACCTTCGCAGCGGCTCTTCAGAAACCTGTGG